AGCGGCAACTATCGTAGTTGACTGACTTACCGCATAGACTGGACTTAGTGCATTGATGACGATGGTGTGGCCTTTGCTTGGACCCCATCGCGTTTTAGCCTTTTCAATTGCTATGGGAAATCCAAACATTCAATTTTAATATATTTTAATGTATTTTTTACTAATTTTTTTAAAGATTGGTTAAAGAATATTAGACGATCCTCCTAATCAATTTTGTGCGCCTAAGAATTTCATTACACACATAGACGGATAGGTGGACCTTTTAAAAAACATGATTTGAATCACGAGCTAATGAGTCGATTAGGGTTGTCTTAAGCTAGGCCTAACTTAGCTTGCTGGCTTCTAATCAAGCTGAATTCGAGTAGATTCATGAGTTGATTAGACTTTGTTACACCCTAACTTAGACTGACTTAATGCGATAATTATGAACCAAAAAAAAAAAAATGTGTGATTATCATTCATGCACGTAAGTAGTCCCACATGGCTTAAACTTGTAAGTATGTAATTAATCGTTGCCTTTAAATAGGAGAGGAATTAATGACTTGGAAGCCTCATATCATTTGCTCGCATTACACATGCAACGATTGGATGACATTTCATCAATATAATATTATATTTTGCATCATTTATGTGGGGAGATTCATGCATATGCAGATAAATTGTTTCTTATTTATGTGCAAATTACGTTCCAAAAGTACCAATAAAGAAATTAGATAAAAAAAAAAAAGGCATTTAAATACATTCCACACAATGTCTATGTAGTTTTGTATCTAACTCCTAAACTTTGCCTTTTACATTCATACCACCCAATTATTTTATAGCTTATATAAAGATTCCTGAGAATAATTGATCGAAGACATAGCATAACTTTAACTAATATTATTATTGGGAATAATTTTAAATTGATAATAGTTTAATCTGCTGTTATCACCAACATAGTCTCATGCAACTCAAGGTTTCAAAGAGAAATGCAGGCTGAAAAGACAAAGTACTCCAATTGAAATATTAGTACAACACAATATTATATACATTGGGATCACAAACAACACTTTTGAAATGACTTAAATATAAAAATGATCATCGTTTAATTATGATATTTATTTATTAAACCATTGATTCACCTTTATGTTGACAAATACATAAATATTATCTATCACTTTATCAAGGAATTGGAAATAAGTGGTCGCCCAAGACCTCTTGAGCAATAAGGTCCCCAATACACTCCACAGTCCAACAACAAAACCAAGGCCCATACCGAGGTACAAACCAAAACGATCATCATCTTGAGAATTGTCTCCTTCGTCATTTATTTTATGTTCATCATTTTCGCAAATCTTATGTAGTGGTTCTCCACAAAGTTTTGGATTTCCGTAGTAACTTGATTCATGGAAAGTGTCAAGTTGGGTCCCCGTTGGGATACTACCAAACAATTGATTGTAGGATAAGTTGAGATAACTCAATGCACTGAGCGTCGCAATGCTCTCTGGAATATTTCCTGAGAAATAGTTCCATGAGAGATCCAAACTTTCTAAGCTTTGCATAACACCAATTTTCTTTGGTATCTTTCCCGTGAATTGGTTTCTCGATAAATTCAAGCTCATCAATCCAACAAGGCTCATTAATTCAATAGGAACTTCACCAGTGAGATTATTACAAGAAAGATCTATAATGTTCACAAGAGAGAGTATGCCTTTGAATTCACGAACTACTCCTTTTATGTCGATCTTTATTGAATCAGATAAAAGTTCGCCTGGACTGAATATAAGATTCATGGCCATAAAAACTTCATTGTCGTTGAATGGAAATGAAGGACCATCGTTATAAATTGGAGGTGCAAGCCTCTTATTTTGTATGACCATTGAATTGAGAAATTTAAAAGATTTTGGGATTGACCCTGAAAGAAAATTATTTGCAAGATCCAAGATCTGTAGATTTTTTAGTTTGGATAGCTCCAAGGGAATTGATCCATGGAATTTATTTGAGTGTAAGCGTAAGATCTTTAGGGATAATAATTTTTCTCCAATCCATAAAGGTATGCTTCCTGTAAGATAATTTTCTCCCAAGTCAAGCGTGATAAGCTTGCTGCAATTTGTTAAAAATGGCATCTCCCCTTGAAAAATATTGTTGTTGAGGTGCAAAGATAACAACATTGGTAGGTTCCATATCCATTGTGGAATTGTACCCCTTAAGTTGTTATAAGACAAGCTGATGAACTGTAGCATCTTATAACTTGAAACATTACCATCGCATTTTGGAATTTCTCCCGAAAGTTCGTTCTCTGATAAGTCTAGAAGAATTATTGAAGGCATTTGGCATATAGAATTATGAATTTCGCCTGAGAGATGATTTTGAGAAAGTTCAAGCACCAGCAACAAACTCAAGTTCCCATTCAGATATAACTCAATCCCACTTGAGAAATTATTATTCGAAAATGATACATAACGTACAAAATTCATTGGTTGAGGAAGGCGCCCTTCCAATTGATTTGAGCTTAAGTCAATAGTTGCTTGAAATGCAGTATTCAATAACATTGGAAGTTTACCTCTAATTGCATTTTGAGACATGTTCAAATAATTCATTTGAGATGTTATATTCCAAAACCAGCTCGGAATGATATCAGAAATACCACAATTGGAGAGGTCTAAATTGGAAAGAAGCTTTTGATTTTGAAGCCATAGTGGGAATTGTGGACCAACAAGGCAAGAACGCAGCAAAAGATAATGAATTTGAAATGGTGGATTCCAATCAGAACTAATCATGTTAAAACTCAATTGATTATTTGAAAGACCTAGGTATATCAATTGTGATAAATTTGCTAAATGAAATTCAGAAAGACTACCCTGCAAATTATTGGAACGAAGGTCCAGAAATGCTAAGTTAGTTAGTTGTCCAAGACTCTGTGGAATAAGTCCATCAAACTGATTATTTTGAAGATAAATGTATTTTAAATTTCTCATATTTCCAACACATTCAGGTATGCTTCCGCTCATTTGGTTGTTGGAGATATCAATTGCTGTTATTTTATATTCTTTGCATTTTAAAGGAGTTCCATCATCACTTAATTTTGTAAAATTATTATTGCTAAGGACCAAAACTTTGAGATCACATAAAAAGCTTAAAGAGACAAATGAGATAGGTCCTGTAAAATAGTTTGAATCGAGGTCTAATTCATTTAATCTTTTGAATTGTCCTAACCAGTTTGGCAAACTTCCATTGAGATGGTTATAATCAAGAGCAAATATTTCAATGGTTGATGAAATATTAGAACGTGGAAGTAAATTCGGAAGTGTTTGTAGGTTACAAAATGACAAATACAAAATGGAGATAGCTGGAAGCACACTAATCTCATGTAACCAATTCATAGCGAATGTTAAATTTAGATTCGACATAAAAACGAATTGTAAAGAGAAGAGGTTTGACATCCATAAGAGGTTATAAGCAACTAGAGAATTAAAACTAAGATCAAGGTATCTAAGTTTTGTCAAGTTTCCAATATGAGGTGGAACTTCTCCGGCGAATCCCGAAGAGTAGAGATCAAGATGGCTCAATTTAGTGAGGGAACCAATAGAATGAGGTATCCTTGTTTGATTGAAGTGAAGTCTACTCAAGCACAAATATTGCAAGTGTCTTAAGCGAAAAAGAGACGGATGTAACGATGCAGCAAATAAAATATCTGAAAAAACAGAGAAATCGAGCTTGATGACATGATTGGTTTTATTACTACAATTCACTCCCTTCCACGAGCAACAATCCTCGCTTATATCCCAACTCAAGAGAAGGAAGTGAGGATCAGACAGACTTTGTTTAAAATCAAGGAGGGCATCTCTTTCCTCAGCACTGCAACGTTGGTTCGCCTTGCGAATAGCTAAGCCACCTTCGCTTTCCGCTCTCAAGCAATAGAAAGATAGAGTAAGGATTAACAGTAGAGAGAACTCAACTCTTTCCATCTGAGTTGGGATAATTGTTGCTCTCTTGCTCTATCCATATTTATAGCCCATTGGTTGGAAGATTTCTCCAAAATTCTCTCCTACACTCTTTTTCTATATGATTGAGATAAAGTGTGATGATGATGGAGTGATTACTGCTAAAATAATTGAGATAAATAATATTTATGTCATTTCAGTAGAAAATTGCAAGAGAACATAATGCTTGATTCAAATTAATTTAATCTTAATTTCAATTCAATTAAAATAAGCCTCTATCAACAATATTTACAAAAAGGAGCATTTACGTAAATACCAGACAATTCTTATTTATTTACACATCCAACACCAAAACTTTAATATTTAACATTACAATAAAAACATCATTCTTACTGATACGGCACCAACAAATTTTTATTATTCATCACAAATCTCGAGGCACAGACCTCGAGACAATATTTTGAGCGAAGGATGTTCAAATGTTGAAAAAAATTCATCCAAAACTCTAATTTCAGTAAACTTATAGTCAAATTGGCCGACTCGATGAGGCACAACTAATGATATCAAATAAAGTCCAATGCGAGTCAAATCAAGCCAAGATCAAATCATAAAATAATTCTTGAAATATTTCCGGACACATTTGGAAGAACAAACAAATGCCAAATCAAACAAGTTTATAGTCGAAATGAGCGTCTTGAGAAGACAAACCCAACGAGCATAAGATTGCTCAATTCTGACATCATTAAGACACTCAAATGTCCAACAAACGTTGTATGATCGAGGGAAGTTCTACTGACCGTCTGATCAAAATGTTTCATGTCTCTGCATTAATTGCACCTAGAACACTATAAATAGACTCTCACCCTCACATGAGAGGAGAGTTAAGCCTAGAGAGAGCCTCAAACCTTGAGAAGAAGTTGCAGCTCAGCATCACCGCCGACCGCCGTTTACTACAGTGAACCGTTCTTGACCCCGCCCACCTCCGCCTA